ACCACTTGGCTGCTATTTGTAGATCTGCCTCTAAATTGATAGTTGTCTGTTCCAAGTCGTAGATGCAGAATGATTTGTAAAGCTTTGAGTCGTCTACGTATGAATCAAGGTTACACGATTGTATGCTCCCTGGCAGATCATTAATATAGATGCAAAACAGAAGTGGTGATAGTATTGCACCTTGTGGAACGCCATGGGTTATCGGGCGAGCTGATGACTTGGTGGATCCAATGCGCACGTATTGGGATCTGCCTGTTAAATAGTCTTGGAACCATTTAACAGCTTCGGGTGAAGCATCGATACAACTCAATTTGTGTAATAAAATCGAATGACTGACACTGTCAAATGCCTTGGATAAATCCAATAAAATTAGTGCCGTTAGATTTTTGTTGTCTATGGCTTCCAACATCGTATCGGTAACAAATATGTTTAAGGTTTCGGTGGAGTGAAGACTCCTATTCCCGCTTTGATGTGACGATATGCGATTAAATTCTTTTAGGTAGGAGCTAAATTGATTTAGAACAACTTTTTCACAAACTTTTGAAACTACCTCGAGTTGTGAGAGAGGCCGATTGTTTGAGGCTATCTCGTAGTCTCCTTCTTTTAGTAGGGGTATAACTTCAGAAATCTTCCATAGGTCAGGGAATGTGCTTGTCATTAGAGAGCAATTTATCATATGCGTAAGAGGACCCAGTATGATTGGAAGACAGTCTTTGATGACACGCATGCCTATTTTATCTGGTCCTGGTGACTTATTACTTGGCATAGCCATGATAATGCGTTGAACCTCTGTACAAGTAACGGATTGGAAATTGAACAGTTGATCAGATGGATAAGTGATGACATTTGACAGAGGATTTGACAGTGCAACATTGTTGTCTTTGGCTAAACTTTCGGCTGTCGCAGCAGCGTTCCGTCCCACAGAAGTAAAAAAAGGTTGAAATCTTCTGCAACTGTTTTTGGATCTTTACTATAAACTTGTGTTTCCTTTTCCTTCAAGGGAATTATGTTATTAATTATTTTCCATAGGGATCTCGAATTGTGTTTATGTTCTCTTACTTCGTTGAAGGTGTGGTCCTTCGCTGCGGCTTTAATTTTGGTTTTTACGTTATTACGATATTCTTTGTAAACTACCCAATCACCTTCATCACGTGTCAGTTGAAACCGACGGAGGTGTAGGTCCCGAGACTTCATGAGTTCTTTTATTTCATTGGTGACATATGGACATGATCGATTTCGAATTTTGAAGGTTTTTAACGGTGCATGCACGTCGAGAGTTGAGTGAAGAACATCTTTGAAGGTTTCGAGTATTGTATTAACGTTGGTGTTGGATAATATGGATAACAGACGATCCGATTTAGTGACAAGGTCAGAGGAAAATAGTGAGGGATTATAGTTTTTATAACTCCAAGTTGTAATGTAACATGCTGGCATCTTTGGGGCCTTTAACTTTAGTAGGACGTACACTGGTAAGTGGTCACTGATAGAAGTGTTAATAACACCACTCTCACGAACAAGTGCTGTGGATGAGACTAGAATAACATCAATAAGCGTTTGGGACGTCGCCGTGATTCTAGTTGGAGTTTTAATAATCTGTGTGAGATTTAATTCTGTAGAAAAATTTGTTAGCGCTCTCCGCTCCTGGCCGTTTTCTAGCATGTTACAATTTAAGGTGAGTAACGAAATAATATAACCGCTATCACCCTATCATATTTATATTTTTAGGCAACTGGTAAATATATGTCAAAATACAGTACGTGACGTTTTCCATGCAAGGAAACAGCAATTATCCTATATTTCGCCACATGTTGGTCAAACTCTCGCTCGATTTCGCACGATACAAACAATTTTCAAGAACCCTCGCTCGATATCTAATTACAGTCTTCGAGAACACTCGCTTGAATTAAAAATTTTCGAGAACACTCGCTCGCTTCGCGCTCGCGTACTCGCAACTCGCAAATTTCTCGTTAGAGGTCAAATCGCGCTCGATAGCCTCTCGCTCGAACTCGCTCGTTACACGATGTTAACTTCCATTAGGGCTGTACTGTATACATCTGATTGCTTTATTGGACAACATCAACAAACATTGCTCGGCAAATGTTTGTTTTATTTTATTAAGAAGTGGTTATAGGTCCGACATTTCCATAATCATTAAACTCGTTAAAAATAAAAGCACATAAATTTAATTGAATTTCAAGCAAGTCTTCCATAGTGTTGTGGTTTAGGCACCCGCATTGTATGTGCCAGCTCGCCGATCAAATCCTGCTCGCGCCACTATTTTATTAATTTTTTTATACTTTTTTCTTTGTAGTTTTTACAAGTTTTTACCCTTTTGGGTTAGGTTAGGGGTTAGGTCAGGTTAGGGGGTTAGGTTAGGATCAGTTTTCAGGGTTAGAGTTGGGTTTAGTGGTTTATTTTAAAGCGTTATATCGGACCTGCTCTGACTGGTCCAAACCTGTGTTTTACTTCAGGCCATCCAAACACGGAAATTTATTAAAAAGTGAATGTTTTTTAAAGTGAATGTTTTTTAAAGTGAAATGTTAACACAGAAAGTTGTTATTTTATAAAACAATTACTTTATGCCGGTTTCTGTATTTGGATGGCCTGATCCAAACACTTGGGAATGTTGCTCGAGTTAAGAAAAACGTGCAAAATCACTCGCCTTTGGCTCGTGTTTCGCTCGCTTTTCTTAACTCTCACAACCATAAGTAATTGTATAATACTATTCACAGACAAATAGATGCATATCATGAATTATAATAATATAAATTATCAAACCTGATCCCATCACTATCATAGTTTTCACGAGTTTTTCATCTTTTTTCTTCTTTAAACCTTGTCTTCTTACTAAAACCCAATAAATTCTCACAATAAAAACTAACAGAAAAGTTACACTACACGAAAGTATTAGCATTTTAAAATCAACATCATAACTTTTGGCAGCCATGTTGAAACTCCATATCCATTATATCTCGTTTAATATGAAGTAACCAGTACCGCTGGATTGACACTGCAGGCGTGGTAAATAAAAATAAATAAGTAAAGTCCAAATTCCAAATACTTCCTGGGGAAAATGAAATAAATAAATCATTTTGTTTTAAAATATTGTTCAATCTCATGCTTTGTACAAGTTTCTTCAACTAATTTATAGTTCATACAAGTAAGTTTTTTATATACCATTGTATTCTTGTCGTTTGAAATTAAATGTATTTCAATTCTTTGTCTGACAGTGTGACATGTGACTTTGGCACTTGAAATTGACAAAGATCAACATTGACATTGTTATTTCACAATCGATTCAATTATTCTTAATATAAAGCCATGACTTATGGCAGTTGTCACTTCTGAAACATTTACTATTTTATTTTAATAGTGTAAAGATGTATTTAGTAGGAAATTAGGAAAAATGATTCCATCTTTAAGATCTTTTTAATACATTCATTCAATATGTATTGAATATGATTTTAACATTGTGAAACAATAAGTCACCTGTGAGACCATGCAATCACTTGTTTGTAATTTCTGTTGATAGTTAATTCAATTATGATCACTACAGACATTGAAAGTTTGCAAAATGTACTGGTTAGGCCTAGAAAATTGGCCTGAAATAGAAAATTTAGGAACTTTTAAACACAAGTAAATTATATATGGCATACAAAAATTTCCTGCAAGGTGTAAGAAAATTAATTTCCATGAAGATATTTTGTTAAACATTTTCTGGCAGCAGGTTGCAGTTGAGTGGCCCTGCCTGACATTTTCCAGCACTGATACTGGGCAAGATTAGGCTATGATAGATATGTGCAAGCAGGTTCAAAATATTGCACTAGTTTTGTGTTTCAAAACCTTAAATTGAATTCACCCTTTGGACTCATGCAATTTTGATAGGTCTTTGAAAAATTTAGTTGTTTGTTTTTCACAGTGACTAGACAGCTTGCTATTTATTCAACTACAGCAACGTACTGTACCAGCAATGTAGTGATTGCATATATCTAGTCAAAGTTGAATTTTTATAAAATAAGCTGATCCCAACTCCAAACCCTGAAAGTCAGTGAAGTCAGTTTAATACAGTCCCAAAACTAGTTTTGACCCACATTTCATTTCACTTCGCATGCAACAGCTTTGACCAATAATTAGCAAGAAGCTGAATGCAATTGCAAGAAAAATGTTTATATTACTAAATAAGATATGTCAGCTGAGAAATGACCAGCAATTTTACTAAACAGCCAAATCTAGACCCTTCCTTTTTCCAAATTACAACAGAAAACATGGCTGACCAATTAACATAACTGTGGGTGATCGATATTCGTACCATTTTGCAGCAAGTTCATTGAATAATTATTCAAACAACTAGAGTGAAGATTTAATGTTGAAGAATAGATCTGAACTCCAGATACATGTCCATTTGCATGTGATACCAACAGCTGTTAACTTGTGTTCATATACTCTATGTGAGACCCCGTCCAGCCATTTTGCCTTGCTTTGCAACTGGGTTTATATCTGTACCATGGTAGTTATATTTATGACTTGTTTTTTGAAAAACATGTTAATTAATTTAAATTTATATATATTTGTTGTTATGAAAACTTGCAAACACTTATTAACCATTTAGGTTGCAATGCATCCTGATGAGCCTACTTTACTAACACCAGATGATTTTACTCATCAAGGGGAGAGTGCTGCTACTCAAAGGGTTAATAATAATATTTTGTTGTTTTAGGAAACAATACATGGCTGGTCCCAATGTTCTATTTTATTATTATGTATCGGGTCTTAGTTTTATCATTTTTCTTGGCATATTTTTGCTCAGTCCTTTGATTTCGAAAGTAATGTCGTCCAAATATAAACATCTTCCAGTGAAAGATCAAATAAATTGGGACACAAGGTTGGTTGATATTTCATGATTCTGAACATTGCTTTACTGTAGCTTTATCTAACTCTAAAGGCAACATGCATTAAGAGGTTATTGATTATGTGACATTATTGTTGAGTTCAGGTCACTTTTCAAAGCACGATTCCCAAGTTTTTTGTGAATACTCCCAATTACAATGATCTAAGTTTGGACCATTGGGCGTGAAAATTGCAAAGCAACTTTGCAAGTTACATACTAAAGTACAAAAGTGTATACTGAACTTTAGTAATTAAAAGCAATTACTCATGAATTAGTTGTCTTTGCAAGTTCCACATTTAGAACGTAATTATATAAGGAATATTCACAACAAATCCACAATAATCTGCTAAAATCTTTTAGCTATGAATTTGTTACACCAGATAAAGGATACCTACCCTGGGTGCCAGAGCCTCCAGCTGTGATAGAAGTGAGGACACGACAAGGAGGCTCTGGTCACACAGCTTCCAGCCTCACTTTGGTGAGATCAATATTTGAACTCTGTTTGTGATTGGTCTAAATTTATGTGAGCCTTTTCATTGGTTAACCGATGAGCTTTGGTTAACCAATGAAAAGGCTCACATAAATTTAATCAAATCTTAGAATGCCAGACAATTTTACTCATCAAGAGGAAGTGCTGGTACTGAATGAGCAGCGTGGCAGCGTCACTGTACATTTAATGCATAAATTTTCTCTTGCTCGATGAAGGCCAAAATAGATTCTGTGAACTTAATGATTAATTGTGATATATTGCTTTATATACAGTATGTGTGGTTGGGGGGTTGGGAGAATTCCTGAACATCATTAAATAATTTCAGGACAATTTCCCGCAGACCAATAGTCGTCAGTTCTCCCAGCTAAGGGACCGGTCATAAAGTAAAGGGGGGGGGGTGGGCTGGGAAAATCATATATTTGGTGTCTGCACTTTTGGTAGCCCACCCCTTAATAGCTGCATGAAAATTTGTAGCCCACCCTCAAATTGGTGCTGAAAAATTATGATCCACCCCTTTTCCAATCCCCCCCCCCCCGTCGACAACTTTTTTAGTTAAAAAATTTCCGGACAAGTACATTGCAATTGCTTTCCAAGGACTTTATCTTAATTTTTCATACCAAATTTCGGTACTTAGCCCAAAAAACAGATATCTTGTTCTTTGCACGGAAATTTTTAACACAAAAAAATTACTGGGGCCCAATCTTCTGCATATTTTTACATGGCCCACCCTTATGATCGCGCTTAACTTTCGATGACCCACCCCTTCAACCGTGCTCAAAAATAGTGACCCACCCCCCTATTTTTCCCAGCCCACCCCCTCTTTTACTTTATGACCGGTCCCTTAAAATGCCTTAGTTACCATTGTGTTTTTTGTGACTGTCTTTTTTATGTTCAATATAATTGTGTTGAAATCAATATGAACCCCCTTGAATACGCCTTGGTTTTGGGGGAACATACTGACAGGATTTCAAATAAAGTTTAAGTTTATTTGTGACTGTCCATCTTGAATATAATTATCTGTATTTGATGTGAGATATTTTATCTAGAATTGGGTCAAATATTCATGCCGTTGTTGCTGCCACAATATCTCTTTATGCATTTTTCTTTGATAAAGCAACATTGATGGATCATTTCTGGTAATTTTTCTATTTGACAATTCTTTTGTTCAGTTTTTTCCACAATTCATGTACAATATTTCAGCAATAATTCCATGCTCTAACAAATTATTTTGATCAATCAATATTTTCTAGTACTGATTCTGTTGTTGTAAGAAGTGGAATTTCAATTACCTTTGGGTATATATTAGCAGGTACTGTTGTCTCTGTACTGTTGTCTCTGTACTGTTGTGTTATGTTATGATATAGAGGTTCAGATTTGACTACCACCACCGCTTCCACTACCTCTAACTAGTTTAGTACGCATCTGATTGGTTAATCAAATATATCAAACGCATCTGATTGGTTGATGGTCCCTTAGTCTTAGGGACCGGTCATAAAGTAAAAGGGGGGCGGGGCTGGGAAAATCATATATTTGGTGTCTGAACCTTTGGTAGCCCACCCCTTAATAGCTGGACGAACATTTGTGGCCCACCCTTAAATTGGTGCTGAAAAATTATGATCCACCCTTTCAGAAAGGCAAACAATACCAGCGACCAGCGTTCTATTTTTCTGTTACCAATTAATTCTGTTACAATACTCAATAGCTATTCAAATGGTGCAATTAAAATTTAGGGCCTCTTTTAAGGATATGTAACTGGAGGGGACATATTTAGCGGGGGACCTGGAGGAGTTCCAGTCGGCAAGTCTGTATCACTGCAGCTACCTGCACATATATGCATGGTTTAACTAATAAGTATACGTCATAGGGCAGCAGATCAGGCCGTAACTAGGATTCTGAGATGACCAGCAAAGGTGCAAGCTCCTAGAGGGGTCTGGGGGCATGTCCCCCAGAAAATTTTGGATTTCTTGAAGCCCAGATAAGCTATATTTCCCACATTTTGAGGAGTTTTCCAACAAGAAATTAACGTTATAAACAGTGACACAATTACTACAATTTCACAGTCTCCCAAATGTAATCCAGTCCCAATAAAGCAACGTGATGTGATAATGCGGTAATTAAAATGTGTGTTGTATAGTATTATCATTCACCACACTTCAAATTCTACAGTACTGTATTACATGTATCGGGGTACTTGAAATCGACGCATTCGTCTTCTCAGTGTCACTGCATGAAAAGCAAGATATGGTGGTCTCTTTGGAATATCTTTGCTTGGAAAAACTAAACTAGAATTTCATCCTAAAATTAACGTCCGAGTCAACTGACTCGGTTGACTCATAGCTATAGTTACGGGCCTGCAGATGAAGGTGAAATTCAGACATGTTGACAACTTAACATCGTTTTCTCACTTTGATACATAATTGCTGGTTGACCACCTACTGCAGGTAGTTCTAAGGGACCTCACTCGGGAGGGGGGACAAAATTGTCGATTGGAGGAGCCAGTAAGAGGGTTGGCGGGAGTGGGGGGGGGACATGTCCTCCGCAGTCTATATATTAAAAGAGGCCCTGAATTAAATACAGAAAGGTCTTTCTCTGCATGGAACTTCCCATGCATACTGCATGATGACTCAGTATCTTTCTCATAATTAGAGACCTTTAGTTTGACATTTACAGCTAATGCCAAACCACTAACGATGATTGTCATAATTTAATTATGCTCTTGTAGATATTACACTAATTTTGTTACATAATAAACAAAGCTCATGACATTCGTAGCAATAATGATTATCAGAAAATTAGTTAGCCACTCCTAACGTATTAGCCAAGACAGTAAATTCAGCTTTTAAGTTTGAGGTTAACGTTTGCGGCATAAATTTTACACATGGATCCTGATACGTTTCATTTCTATTTTTATAATATGAATTTTAATACACATACCCTTGAAAAAATTTCTGCATATTTTTTCATGGCCCACTCTTATGATTGCACTTAACTTTCGATGACCCACCCCTTCAACCGTGCTAAAAAATAGTGACCCACCCCCCTATTTTTCCCAGCCCACCCCCACTTTTACTTTATGACCAGTCCCTTAGCGGTAATGGAAGTCAAATCTGAACTTCTATATTATCACATCGCCAAACCAAAAAAATGCCAATGGTGAATTTTCCATGTGGACTGCATACAAGCCATATTAATATTCTGACATAAGTAGGACCGCCCAGAGGTTGCGTGGGACCCTGGGCAAAACTTTACCAGGGGCGGGGGCCCCTATGACGTCATAATTTTTGACCAGGAAAAGCGGTGTGTTATGATATTTTTATATATTATCTGGCGCTTAAACTGATTTTTATCATCGGTTAAGCAATTTTGTATCAAGAAAATGTGAGGGGCTTTGTCACTTTGGGAGCCCGGGGGAAAATCCCCCAACCCCTCTTCTCGGCATTTAACCCAGGGTATTTTCTCTCACTCTCTGGTGAAAAGACACTGAGTATGAAGACATAATTAACATACCGCTCTGGCGCTCTATCGAATTACCAGCTCCGATTATTGCCCCTACCTGTGTAGCTCTGATATTTGGCTGTTCCAATAGCCCGTCTACACTTTCCTGCCATTGATGTAAAGGCCGTTTCCATCATGATTGCTTTCCTCTCTGCTCGTGTCTTGTTGTCGACACCGATACAGCTCTGAATCAATTTCGTATCAATGTAAATCGCTAGTGTAGCAATGGCAATGTACATCTCAAACAATGTACATCTATGGCAATATACAATGTACATCAATGGCAATGTATATCAATGGCAATGTACATCTCCCATAGCAATGGCAATGTACATCTCTCGGTCTAACTTATTTTATGTTTTCCAGATTTTTTCATCATTCTTTGGTATTATCGTTGTTTTCAAGATATATTTATGATTATTCATCATATTATGGCGCTATTAGCTTATGTTTTCGTAATGGTATGTTTCCTTAGATATCTCAAAGTATTTGTATACGGTATACAGTAGTAAAGTACTGCAGTAGCCTGGAAACTCACTTTCTAATAGGGAGCTTTAAACAAGCGACATTTTTATCAACATGGACGTGAGATTGCCGAGGGGGACTGGATTAAAAACTGTGTTTGTATCAGTTTGTGCTAATCTTCAACACATGTGACAAAACATAAGATTTTTTGCAACTTGTCTCGGAACTTGTCTCGCAATGTTAAGAAAAACGATTTCAGGATTGCATTGCAAGGGATGTTACACCAAGCAATATGTTCCATGCAACTTGCAATGATCATTATTAAAAACACAGTATATAAAAACCGCGAGTGCTAACGTTTCGTGCCATATGTCAGTCAAAAGCCAAATAGGAAACCATTCAGTGTATAAACATTGCAAGACCAGTTGCAAGAGGGATGTTACACTGTGCAATGCTCTAAAAATGCGTTGCAGCGTTGCCGCAATCGTTGCAAAAAGTACAACCTCATTCTACTTCGTGCAATGGTTGTTGCAATTATAGGCAACAAATTAAGATTACCAGCATTACAGTGTATGTTGGCAACCTACCCCCCCCCCCCCCCTCTGCCTTGAGGAATCATTACACCCCTCGTGTACTGTACTGTAGTTCCGCCACTCTGTCTTCGTTGTAATGAATTATGGATATTTTGTAGATATACGGCTGCCTTCTTTTCTTTGCAAATATTCGTCAAATTGCGGAGCTATCAACGCCTTTTGTTAATCAAAGGTATTTTATTATCTACTGTGTTATAATACACCCAACGTGGGATTCCATTATAGCTAGTATTCTAACCTGTTTTCGTCCTGACTATACCCGAGTGTTCTTCTCAAACACGTCAGCACGTGGAACCTAAACTCCTAAAGCCTGCTTTACACAAGATCAAAGTTTCTGTGATCGCAGAAGGAATTTTGCATGGGTAAACTCTAAATTTTGAAGGATTTGTGAGAAATGTTTGAGGAAAGTAACTCAGTGTTTACCACAAAGTCAGTTTCCTCAAACATTTCTGACAAATCCTTCAATCCTTTGTGGCAAGAAACAGAAGGAAACTTCCGATAACTTACACTGTATTTAACTTTCAAGAGTCGTAGAAAATATTATCATACTTTTAAAGCAAATGCGATGTAATTTCGCGTACGCAGTATGCAAGCACGTTTCAAAAATACTTCAAAATTAATGCAAACATCTCTATTTAATGTAAATGTTGGAGTTTTTTCTGACAAACGCTTTTAGCCAGCTATCCTAAATTCCAATAGCCCAGTGGTTAGAACGCCGCTATGCTACAGCATGGCGGGATATCCAGAAATTGCATTTTCAGCAAGTACTTCGACGGCGTCATTTGGACACCCAAATATTTTACCTGTAGTGAAATAATCATTCTCAATTTTTTCTTATTTTCCAGATGGTTTTACGACATAACTGGTCAAGCACGTAGTTCAAAACAGTTTATTAGGAATGGTTTGCTGATGATACTGGCATTCTTTCTTGGTCGTATCATCTTCATTCCATATTTTATGTGTACTGGTTTTACAAAATGCTTAAAGGCGGAGCTAAGTTATTATTGAAGCCTGGTCAAGAGAAGAAATCGAAGTAGAGACAGCCGAGATTACACGAGGAGTCTCTCGACAGCACGCTCTCATGATGCAACACCGCGACACAAAGTATTTCCTACATACAATATATGTACATAGCAAGATACGGGTATTGAAATCTGGAAAACTAAAGACAATACTAATCACGACTGTTGTTTTCAAAGCCCGAATATCCTACTGAGATGAACATGCATTAGATCGAGGGAAAGCCAAACTAGTGCGCCTTCTCCATATTTTCTCCATGTTTAAAGCATAATATACTCTTTATATAGAAGAGTGATGTTTCTATTTTGCTCAGGATACAGAGAAATACGTTTCGGTACGATACACGGCTGAAGTGGATAACGGTTTTAACGGAATATTCGGATGAAAGATTTAACGACAGGAAGTTATAAAGTTGCAGTCACGTGGTATAACATTTATGGTACCATTCAGTGGACAACTAGTGATTTGCAAACTTGGTTGATGAAAATAATCAGTTTTAAAATGCAACAAAATGTACAGAAGTGCAAAACAAATCGTAACCTGTAACAAAAGCTGAATTCAATGCATGTCAAGGGATGGATCATTAGATATCCTGGAAGGGGCGATTTTCCTTGCAAGATTATTCGTAACCTGTAACAAAAGCTGAATTCTATGCATGTTAAGGGGTGGATCATTAGATATCCTGGGAGGGGCGATTTTCCTTGCAAGATTATTTTTAAGTTCAGGAGCTTTGTCAAACTTTTTTATAGTGAGGCTATGCAGAATTGTTTTCTATATTTTTCTGTATGCTCCTTGCCTCGTTCCCACTCGCTTTTTCAATAAAGATCAATAGAGATCAGAATGTCGAGTGTGATAATTAACCCTGAGGGACTGTGGAAGAGTCGGGTATTGCAGGATTTTTCTTTCCCTAAATGCTCACGTGAATGTTTTTATTTTCAAATTCCACTCTTTGCAAAATCAGTTTTTGTTGCTTGTATTATACCTAACCTTTAATTGCAAGCAGTTGATTTGCTTATAACAAATGTTCCATGTATTTATGATTTGTAAATTTTAAATTATATATATTATATATTTAACAGTGTTGATTTATAAATATATATTTATTCGATGTTGCTGCTGATTATTTTTCAACACTTAGTGTCGAAGCCTACCGGAGTCAGGAGCTTTCTCTCGGCTGGGAAGTCAGAATGATAATGTGACAATTTCGTAGAAATAGCGTTGGTCACAAATACTGGCAAGTGGCGAACAATCTGTAGTGATATCTGTTGTTGTGTCAAACCAAGACATACATTAAGACATGTTTGTGCTTTATCACAGGAAAAGTTTTAAATCGCTACCGTCATGCTTTGATACGCTGCACACGTCATCTTACCTTGGGGACAAAATTGAGGCGAATAATATCCGCCATTAGTATTTTTGCACAAGTGAACATAACAAATCCTACACGTTGATTGGTCAAATTTGACGTAATAAGCTGTTCTATTCACCTACAGGTGAATATAACAAAACAGAAATTTTCAAAATGGCGGCTACCCGTTTTGTGTAATAATTGTTAATTATCCAATTAAAGACTTTATCCCCGGAGTTGTGAACCAACGCAGCCAGAGATTTGAGATGTAAAGTAGGCGAGGCTGAAAAACCGCACAGTACGAACACTTCTTATAGGCAATTCTAGCCAAACGGCCCAATGCTCTTCAGGGAAGTGGCGAAATGTAATAACATTGGAATGCTTAAAATATTGGTTCTCCTGTTCACTTGGACTACCCCCACGGTCGGTTTATGTTCACAATCCGATACACTGTGCGAGGTTACCAAGTGAAACAGCCAGGAAAGGCGCTGACCATGCGTTTTACGATAAAAATAACAGAATAAAAATCATCGCGACAAAAATACTTTTTTACAAGAAGCAGCACGCCTCATGAATAAAATTAAAAACAGGCAGGGGGGGGGGGCTGCATTACACATAGATCACGAGCGCCATAGCACTTTCCCCGCCCGTGTAATCCTGCGCCTGATAACACCTGTGCTGACAATCCTGAGCACAAAAAGTTGACAGAGCGATATTCTGCAACACATGCAATCTCACTCGCATAGCAAACAGTAATTCGGCAAGACAGCGAAACTACAATTCAAATAATTATTGCGGGGTCTTCTGTATAGGGTGGAGCAAAAAACATTCCTCAATATTAGTATGCATAACCTTTTTTAAAAACGTCGCATCGCCACTCTTGTTGTTCATGTAGAAACAACTACAAAATCAACACGTTAAAAATAAATACGCTAAGAGAAACATCCATTTGTTTGTACACCAATTTAGTGAAAAGGAAAATATACTTTCAAATATGTTTACGAATCAATTCATACAGTAAAGCATATTTCTATGTATGAAACAAAATAACGTCAATAATTTATCAACTATACAGATCATCATCACCATCATCATACTGACCCGCACCACCCGCTCCGCCTGCTGCAGGCTCATTTGTAGAACCGCTGTCCACTGTACTGGGGAACCTGAAACGCAAAATGTAGACTTCGTAAGCTAAGGTGTTCTAATATGGGAAGTTTTCAGGCCGACTGTTAAAGTGTGGTTCGGAATTAAAACGTAGAACAAAGTAAACTAACAGACCCATGTCAGAGGAGGAATGTGGGTCTTCCAGAAATGCAACGCGCGCCTCATTATTATTCAAAATATTTATTCTCAATTAAAAACTGTTGAAATATATTGCGATTTTTGCTGTGAAAATCTTTGTTTTGATAACGTTTTGTTTAGTAATTTAATAAACGAATTTTGGAATAATTTTGTATATATGCCGCATTTTAGTTATGTTAAATTCCCATTGTTTTTATGCATGTTTCGGGTCAGTGAACATGACCTTTGGCATTGAAATATTCATGAGTAAACTATACTTTTTTACAAGGAAACTAAAATAAAATCACATCAGTGAATTCAGGATTGTTTACTCTTTACAGCGATACTTAAAAACATGAATTTACTCCATAAAACAGAAGAGTTATCGCGGTTTGAAAATGAGCTATTTTTGCTATTATACTGGACAATACAGCAAGAATAGCTCATTTTCAAACCGCGATAACTTTTCAATGTTTAAGCTATGGCACAGTTACCTTTCCAACTCTCATGTTCCCCTCTCAATTTTCAGTAAGCAACTGCAAGCCACTTAGTGACGAAGTTAGCCATAGCAACAGGTCATGCTACGCAAACGTTTTTAATGATTTGCATTACTTAAACCATAGAAATGTATTGTCTTTAGCCTAAGAAGATGCAGGTTTATAAGCATAGTATGACCAGTTGCCATGGCTAGCTTTGCCACTGTTTCAATATCGAATATCCTCACCTGAAGTTGGATCCTCCAAGACCTCGACTTTGTTGTAATGTCTGAGCAAACATCTCATATTTACGAATATCATTATCTGTCACAGAACGACGGGCAAATTTCATGGCTTCCTCAAAATGATCGCGACGTATTTCTGGCACTGCATCAAAATCTTCATCATCTTCAACATCCTGAAAACACAATTCTTAGTATTGACATCTTTCTAAGCACTTTCTTTTTGTACACATTGCAAGGCATACGCAGTATTTGCTACGCTCTTATATTTTTGAGGTAGTTGCATCCCTAGCAACGAAAGCTTAGTATTTGCTACATTCTATAATAAAAATGTTCTGCAGCACCAGTCGCACCGTTGCCAGGAACTTTTTTCACATCTTGCAGAGTTGCAGGAAATCTTTGTCATCAATCGTTGTTACTGGAGTGCATATAATTATACATACTGGAGTGCCATACTTATTGTTTACAAAAACGGTTTGCAAGTCTAGATTGCGAGCAGGAAAAAATTATTTCCTTCCCAGACCAACAGAGTGTTTTTGTGCTAAATCTGCATGTGCATAAACATATAGTGTTCTATCAACACCGCGGAAAAACGTCTGCGCATGCACCAAATTATGAAAATATGGCGGGGAATTTGAATATCAATTTCTAAAACAAAAACATGCTTATTAATTGGTCAAAAATTAGTAAAACAAACGAGAAAATATAGCAAATGGGTAGACTAGACATTAATTGAAAGTGTCCTGGCATTTAAAGTATGGAATGAAATATAATTCATGTAAAAAATTGTTGATTTTAACGGACACGACTTCGAAAATATCTGCAAAATTATTCAAAACAAAAATTCAAACTCAAAAGTTAAGAAAACTCTCGAAAAGTTAAGCTTCTTAACCCACTCAAATTGTAGAATAAATCCTAAAGTTTAATTATTGTGAACACGAAAATTTTTTATATTTGGCGACACAGTTTTTTTTAAAGAAATGTATCTCAAACGAAAATTCGGGAATTGTCGTTGCTTAGTTGATAAACAAAATGTTTCAGACGATAAATTTGTCAACAATCACCTTTAGTTCATGTTCTTGTACAATACAACTTCTTGAACCTTCCGGCTGTATTTATTCCTAGTTTTTAGAATGACATGTTTATTTTTGCGCTCGAAATCTGGCTGTAAAGACGCACAATGAAGTCACTCCTTTTTACCGCCATTTTGAGCCTTCGGAAACGTTCGGAACCATAGAGATTATAAATAACACTAGAGGAGGCATTGTAATCTTAATTCAGTAAAAAAAAGGGAACGCGACTATTGGGGGGCAAATTCAAGTCCCGGATGTGTATTCGTGTTCCCATTGGTGACGAGTTTCAAATCAGCCAATGAGAGCACGATTTTATATCCGGGACTTGAATTTGCCCCCCATTAGCTGCGTTCCCAGTTTTTAAACTCGATGCCTCCTCTAGTGTTATTTATAATCTCTATGTTCGGAACAGCTTCTCATCAAGTTCGCAATACTATTACAGGTAAGGTTGACGCATGCGCAGACGTTTTTCCGCGGTGTTTGTTCTATCTGACCATGGTTTTAAATTCAAGGAATGTCTGTCAACCACATGTTGTTGCGCCCATCGTGGGACATGGGTGTTAAGGTTTCCTTCAAATTTTCAATAGCAAATCTTCATTCAAACGAATTTCTTGCAGCTGTTCAACATATATTTGACTTACACAGGAAATGATTATTTTTGGATTTTGCTGCCAGGAAGATAAATATATTTTCTAGGTCTGATAATACGATACACCATATTTCCTTACCATTCCATCTGCATTTTCGCCTCGCTTCTTCTCTCGTTCAATGTCCGCCATGATTGACTCACGGATAGCAAGTTTACACGCCTGAAGAATAATTATATTCATTAAGATTATTTTAACTTTTAAAACGAATATATTTTAGCTTCAAGTAAAAGCAGCAAATGAGTAAAAAATGATTTACCCTCTGACAGATTTCAGTCAAATCAGCACCACTGAAACCGCGTGTCACTTTAGCAATATAATTCATGTCAACATTCTACAACGAAGAAGAGGGTGATTCAGAAAGCGTTGATGGTGGGAACTTCCGAAATGTCAGCATTGATAGATGCGAGAAAATGAAATTACATATTTCCATTCTATAAGTGCTGTATTTTACCGCCACATAAAGACGGTTTAACGCATGACTGAACGTGCTATTTCTATTGAGTAACCGATTTCTCAGTATTTTCTTAAAGTATACCGTACCTTGGCGACAGGAGATTTCCGTAAGCATGCCTTTAAAATTGAGATTCGCGACTACAAACAATGATACATAATGATAAATATGGGCTCTCGAAGTAAGAGAGGAGAGATCCAACCTAGTACACTGGGTACGAGTTGGGAGAGATCCTGGGTAAGAGGATAGATAAATGTGTCTAGTAATCTTAATTCTACATCAACAAAATCAATTCACCGTCTTTACAAACTACCAAGCTCTACTTAGCCCCCTTCCTAATCAAGCCCCATGCGTCCAGAACTGCTCAAAAAGCCCTCATCTATTTCTTAAATCAAACTCAACATAGACATACAGTGTGAAATACAAACACTGTTAAACATTTTATAAGAATTGTGTTTGTTTAATCGAAAGCAACAGTTTAAACGTCAGAAACTATAACGTCAGA